TTTCTTCACGGTGATCTGGACGAGATTATTTATATGGATGCACCACCGGGCTTTCGTGGTGAGGGGGAGTATGCTGGAAAGGTATGTCGGCTGTATAAGTCTCTTTATAGACTGAAACAGTCGCCACGAGCCTGGTTCTCTCGCTTCAGTGATGTAGTCGTACGATTGGGGTTCACCAGGTGTCATTNGGAGTCACTCATCCCTGTCAGTACAGAGTTACCAGTCTCTCTTCCTTTGCAGATGTATGTTCGTCGTTCTTGCTCTCATCTCCCTGCTGATATCCCCTCTACCTTAGGCGATGCAGGTAATACTTCTCAGTTTGTTGAGCATCTTGATGCACCTGTTGTTAGTACTGATGAGATTGCAGGTGCTGAGCCAGTTACTTTACCTGATAAGACATTATCAGTAGAGGATGGTGATTTAGGGCGTCGTTATCCAAGGCGTGATCGCCGTCCAGTTGATCGATATGGTTGGACCGCCAAGATTTTATATCCGATCTCTGCTTATGTTTCTTATGGTAATCTGTCTCCCACATTTCGAGCTTATACTATGGCCTTATCAGATACGCTGGTTCCTCGCTCTATTTCGGAAGCTATGCGGGAACCCCAGTGGGTTCTTGCCATGCAGACAGAGATGGACGCTCTTTAGCGTAATCATACATGGGATCTTATCTCCTTACCTTCAGGGGTGAAGCCTGTTGGCTGTCACTGGGTTTACACCCTGAATTTTCTTGCGGATGGTACTATTGATCGTTACAAGGCTAGACTTGTGGCGAAGGGCTTTACTCAGGTACCAGGTCGTGATTTTGGTGCTACATTTGCCCCCGTGGCAAAATTGACTACTGTTCGGTTGATTATTTCTCTGGCTGCGGAGTACTCTTAGCCTCTTCATCAATTAGATGTGAAGAATGCGTTTCTTCATGGGGATCTGGACGAGATTATTTATATGGATGCACCACCGGGCTTTCGTGGTGAGGGGGAGTATGNAGACTCCATTGTCAAGTTTGGCTTAGTTGACATTTTTGCGCCTAGCTTGAGGGGAAGTGTTGGAGTATAGATAGTCTAGTTTATTAGGATTTCTTTTCCCTTTTTTACCCTTACTATGATTTTTATATTTTGCCTAAACTACAAGGATGTTTAAGTCACTCTGTATTATTTTTGGATATATATACGGGGCTCTACTCTTAATTTGAGTATCCCTTTTCACTCACAAATATTTCAAGTAGAGTATAATTCATATTGTCATAATAATATTAGTAGGAATAACTATTGTCATCATATTTATGTCATATATGGAGTTCCTCTAAGTAATTACCCCAAGCCTACACCGATATATGAGTCTGCTCGACACTTCATGGGGAGATGGATGTCATGTATGTATATACTCATTAGCATTTCATGTATTATGAGACCTTAATATTATGTAAAAATGTGTTTATTTGATGAAAATTAAGTGTTTGAAAATAATTTAAGTGATTTTTACCTCATGTCAAGCTTTCTTTTCCTCTAATTTAAATTTATTCTTTTATAAATAAATGTTAACCCAATAAATATGTTGAATTAATCAATTATTAAGCTTATCTTTATAAATAAATTGATTGTATTTGCATTTTTGAGCTGACCGAAACGATGTTTCGATCCTCACTTTCTGTTAGTTTTTCCGATGGTGTCAATTAGTTGGCTTTTGGTAAAAAAAAAATAAAGAAAACTAATAGAAGAGTCACATCGTAACACTTGTGATATATTGAGGGTGCAATATTAAAAACTTAATTATTGAGGGTACAAAGTGGAAATCTTGAATCCTTTATGGGTGCAAAGTGCAAAAAGCCCTAACCATTAACCTGGGGAAGTTCTGGAGAAGGACTTTCAATATCCAAGGTCATTTCACAAGCCCATCAAAACAGTTGGAAGCAATGGACTATATGTCCAGGACTAGCTTCTGGCTTTCATTTGTAAAAAGTTGCTTCCCTCGGAGATGACGCATTTTTTTGTTTGTCAGCTGAAGCTTTTACCAGCACACCAAGTAATGGCCTGAATAAGCTTCTAACGTCCACAGTCTACACAAGCACTATGCATGTTGAATGGTGAGAAGGAGTCAATGGGATCAACTTACCACGCAACTTGCAACAATATAACAATTGAATTAGTTCTTAGGTTATGTGGGCATCACTTGATTTTTGAACATTGCAGTTAAAAACAAATCTCAGGGGTTCCAAAAAAATAAAAGAGTTCTCCAAACATTACTCCAAAAGTACTTTTTGCATCACATGTAAGCTCAAATAATTGGATTTACCATTACAATTCCAGAATCTATGCAAGCACATATAATGCTTTTAAATCAAATAACTTAGTTATTCAAGAGGAAGCAGGATAGATATGTAGAGATATGGCATGATGTACTAATGGGTAACAAACCGTTGCAAAACATATCTGAACATGAAGCCCAAACGAAGCTCAAGAAATCATTCTTGTCGCCATTGTAGATAAGATCACCTTAATGTTAGGGAAAACCATGTTACTATTAGAGAAGAAAATGACTAGAACATCATGCATTTTGAAAAGTCGAACTACGTCATCCGAAGATGGTGATATCTAGGCTGTATGGAATCTACCACGAGTGCAGTACAATCATTGCAGACACATGAAGACAGCAAACCTTCCAATTATTTAATTTGACATGATGACTTACGATCTATTATAGGGTATATACTCTCGTTATCCTGTAAAAGCTCGTCTCGATTAATCAATTGGAGAAAAGTTCAAATCAACAGGTTTCTGTGGAAGGGCCTAGGACTTGTCAAATAGCGGCATCCTAATCCTGTGTCTATGGCCACAAGAAAAACTTCTGAGAATCCATTTTGAATGAAAGCATCAAATTCAGAAGATCATGGTTTTTTACTAAAATTATGCAAATTGAGATGTCACTTCTAATACCGCATCTACTGAGGTTTGTGATCCTGCTGAGATTTAAGTTGACATACTCCAAAAGGACAACAATGATAAAGTTTGACATGTCAGTATGGAGGTTATCTATAAAGACTAATGCTATTTGGACCTAAAAAACTGACATAATTTACTAACATAAAGATGTGAGGTGATGGAATCCTAATAAAAAAGTCCAACAGTTATAGTCACAACAACACTAATAGACTGTGTCACTGTCACATGATTAGATCAACAAATTAGATCTCCATAGCATTATTCTATCAGTAAATCAGGTAAATAATACAACACCTTTTTTCCATATTTCTCCAAAATTTGATCATATCAAGAGCTTACCAAGCAGAAAAACCATTAGCATCAAAGCAAGCATAAATTGCACAGAGCAACTGAACTGCAAGTGTAGCGGGATTTGTAGTTGTCTCTGACTTCCACGAATCCATCCAAAAAGCTGCAAAACCATGAAGTTTTTAACTGTTTTGGGATACTACACAAATGATATTGTCAGCAACACATAAAGAGAAGTTTCAATTGACCAAAACCCAAAGGCCAGTGCATCTAAATTGACTACTACAAAAGCCCAAAGAAAATTTTGTACTAACAACCACACACACGCACATAGATATTTTTATGGTATAAACCACTATCTGCTTCAAAAACTTGTAATTTATTACAAGAAAATGACCTTTACTGAAAATGTTATAATTCTGACCTGATTGATGCAATTAATCCCTCTCAACTGGGAGTAACTCGACATTCCTTCCTTTGCTTGAGGATGATCTCCACAGGTTGGCTTCCAAAACATAGGTTTGTACCCCTTTTCTCTAGGTGTCGCCTCAATGTTTAATACTAAAGCATTCTTTTGTTTATCATCATCGTCAATTAAAATCTTTAGAGCACTAACATTTGGCGAGCTTCCCTTTCTCCTTGTTCCAATTGTTCTATCAGCTTGACAGTTACTATCATTTTTTGTCCCAGGACTTTCTTCAGCTTCTAGTTCTATGACACAGTTAGCAGCCATATAACTAGCAACAATGTCCGTAAAACCCTCTGATTGAATAGGAATAACTCTTTCGGAGGCAACTTTGGTGTTAGGATTCAAATCATTGTTGGTGTATTGCTTCTGTCATACACAGCTTTTGGTCGATGCTCCAAGCTTGGCACATTCATTCTTCACACTACGTGAGGTGGTGGGAATTCCAGAGAGAAATGCAGCTAAGTCATCGCATTCTTCTTTATCTAAAGTCACCCATCGAAGTGGTTGCTGACATCCATCCTCAAAAGACTCCTTCAATGCTGCTTCAACATGAGAAATTTGGTTTTCTATCGCAATGGCAAATTGTCTATGTCTGGTTGAAGTAATGTCATCAGCACGATTTCTGTAGCCAAGTCTAACAGCCTTTTCAAACTCTTCCACCTAATTTAACAATAAAAAAATTCAAAATACACAAGATCAATATTTGCAAAACGAGTAAATTATTAATTAAGGGTGGTCGAGGCAACAAACAAAAGGGTCCCCACTAAGTATCAGATATAAATACTACTGTAAGTTTGAGATTGCCAGAGTTTGGGCACCTTGGAAATGGAATATTGGAAAATTAGTCCAAATTTTGGAACCAACCTGCCACTTTGCGGTACCTAAAGCAACTTGAAGCTCCCTGCTTAGTTCATACAAATCTTGAGGTGCTACCCCTTCTCTCCTCTCTCTTAACCATGCTCGGTAAGCCGATTCCAAGCTGGCAAAGAATATATATTTACAGACACATAAAAATAAAACCAAACTATGTAAAGATGCAAGCTTGGCATTTAATTTCTATAGAAAAGCATATCCTGTGGCTGTGAGCCAACTGCATTCTGGAAAAGCATCCCTCTTAGAAGGAATCGAAAGGAAACCAGAGGTAACACAGAGTGTGGAAATGCAATTTTTAAACTAAATTGCAAAGATAAAAGCACAAGTGCAATTAAATTTATTAGAATGATCATTTCACTTTTTCTCTGATATATTCCTCCCCTTACCAGCTACAAAACATAAACAAATCCAAATTAGAGCAACCATTCCGATATCCGCTAGAACAATCAAAAAGTAAGAGACACCCAGAAAATTAAATCCAAAAACAAGAAGCAATTCAAGAAGAAAATTTGCAAAACATGAAATAATAGAAGAAACGAGATAAGAGCAATTATGCCAATATTATATATAAAAACAACAACAAAAATTGAAGAGTGAAATTTGCAGATACATACATATCTGCAGATTCTTGAACCTCCTCAGCTGCAGAGAAAGAGGTGTCCTTTTGCCATAGATCAAAACTGTTAGCAACCAACATCTTTCTTCTTTCTTCAACAAACAAACAATCGACCCACAGCTAAACCACAAATGCAATAATTAATTAATTAATTAATATATATATATGGGTTAATCTCATTTTGCACCCCGAAAGATCGTTTGAATCTCAATTTATACCCCCAAAGATTAAAAATTTCAATTTACACCCTCAAAGATAAAAAATTGTATCAATGTACACTCCCAAAGATCAAAAATCTCAATTTGCACTCTCAAAGATAGAAATCTGTATTAATGTGCACCTAAAACTAAATTGATAAATTATACCTAGATCCCCTCATGTTTGTCACTTAATCATTTGAACCCCTTCACATTTAGAATATTACTCCTACATCTCATGACGTTTGTACATGTGTAAGCATAACCACTTTTTGTTGATATCTATTAATATAATCGTTAAAAAATATAATTTTATCCTAATAAAAAATTATAATTTCATATTACCCTTTATTTTGTGGATTCGATATATTTTAAAGTTCAAAATCAAGCTTACCATTTGAATGTCTAATAGAATGTAGATATTTATAAAAAGAAAAATATGAAAAACATTATATAAATATCTACATTTTATTAGACATTCAAATGGTAAGCTTGATTTTGAACTTTAGAGTATATTGGACCCATAAAATAAGGGTAATATGAAATTATAATTTTTTATTAGGATAAAATTATATTTTTTAACGGTTATATTAACAGATATCAATGAAAATGAGTTACATGTTGTACGTGCATAAATGTCATGAGATGTAGGAGTAATATTCTAAATGTAAAGAGGTCCAAATGATTAAGTGACAAACATGAGAGGATCTAGGTATAATTTATCAATTTAGTTTTAGGTGCATAATGATACAAATTTCTATATTTGAAAGTGCAAATTGAGATTTTAGATCTTTGGGGTGCAAATTGATATAAATTTCTATTTTTGAGGGTGCAAATTGATATTTTTTATCTTTGGGGGTGCACATTGATACAAATTTCTATTTTTGATGGTGTAAATTGAGATTTTTGATCTTTGGGGGTGCACATTGATACAAATTTCTATCTTTTGAGAGTGTAAATTGAGATTTTTACTCTTTGAGAATATAAATTGAGATTCAAACTATCTTTCAGAGTGTAAAATGAGATTAACCCTATATATATATATATACACTCGAAAGAAAATAGAGAGGGCTTTCTTTCTTCTCTTCTTTGCAAAGGTTAAGCAAAAAAGGAAGAGCGAAAGAAAAGCAGAGACGCAGGAGAGAGAAGTAGAAGTGATTTTGATTCTCTCTCCTTTTTATGTCTGCAACATTTTGGGTTCAGTTCAACTACACTTTTTGTTTTCTTTAGGGTGAATTTCACTTTTAGAATTTAAAATTTTTTTTTTATATTTTTAAAGATTAAATTTTTATATTATATCTTAAATTTATTAAAAGTATTGTAAATATTATGTTTCTATTAACTACTCATTAATTTTTTTGTTAGTGTCAATGAATTGATGTTTTACGAAAAAATATAAGGAAACTAAAAGAAAAGTCTTATTATAAAATTGTTAATACATTTAAAAAATTTAATTTTTAAAAATAAAATATAAAAAACATAAAATATTTTAAGATATAAAGCGTCATTTCTTTAATGCTTTTTGTGGGGAGAAAAATGAATTTCTATTTAGTGTATTTTGCCCACTGTGTGTTACCGAATGTTTGTTTATTCATAGTAACTTCTTGAAAATATAATGGACCATAAATTAAACTTTGAACATTTATCATTACTAACCCTCCAGGAGTTAAGAAAATTAGTACTTCTGAAAGAGTATCCTCGTTCAAGTTATCGGTTATTAGAAAGCAAGGTGAGAGATTAAGGCTAGCCATCGGGCATACGAAGCTCTTTCATTATGGTTCTTATTCTTCGATATTCTCTTTAGAAACTATTCATTCAGTAAGCAAGGGTCCAAAGGAGGCTAATATTAATTTTTTTTAAAATTTTTTGTAGCTTCAAAGAAGAATGGACAATGATAAAAAAAAAATACTATATTGGGTTAGACACAAGTCAAATAGATGTCAAAAATAAGAACAACCTATCTCATATAAGGACAAAATGTCAACGGGCTCTAGTAACAGATCAATTGTCTCCAGGTGGATAGCAGTGGAGTCACTAGCCTGTCAAGAACATGAAGAAATAAATCTCCATCTTTGTTGTGAGAGTATGTTTGAAGCAGGAAGTGGAAGAAGCTCAAAAAGAGACTCGTACACCATAACACAATCAAAAGGAGTTTTTAGGAAAATAACTATTTTAAAAAAGGATTGAATAAACTTGGAAATGGACTGCGAGTAGATCAAAGAATGGAAGGGAGGAGCATCCTCCATGAAAATAGCATGGCTATAGACTCTGAAGTGACAAGCATTAACTAAAAAGGAAGGGGAGGGCATAGAAATAATAAAACGAAATACGATAAATCAAATAAATGAAGGTTAAGATGATCTCTACTTAAAACTCTTTAGGAGTAAAGGCAAAAAATGCATAAACTTAAGACTTGAGTTGTCTCAAAATATGTACACTGCTTTGACTCAACTACTTGGTTATGTTTGAGGAAACTTATTTCCTGATAACCATAATTTAGGATGATTAAGAAAAAAAATTGATTTTTGGTTGGGAAATTTAAAATGTTGCTTAAAAGAGTTATAATCTAGTGTGTGTCAACTTGAAGAACAGTCGATTTCAAAAAAAAGAAAGCTTGTAGAACAGTAAAAGATGTAGGACCTTACGGTTCTCACGTGATATCGGCTCTATTGTAGTGTGTTTTTATTGGTCTTATTCAGCGGTGTTGTGGGTTTTATAGTGAATAATGGTTCAATGCGATAGTAATTTGGAGAAAAAGACGCCGGCGGTTGGAGAAAGAAGAGGACAAAAATTGGTGGGTTTTGAGGTTGAGGAGCCCACTTGCCTGTCTAAGCACAGGCATTAGTGGGGTGATCTGTATTGGTCACAACCAGAGGCCAGCCAACCACTTCGTGTAAGGGCCATATATTCGCATAGGCCAACTAGCCACATAGTATCACTACATGTGATATGATGGATATCTACTGTTTCATTTCATTCGTTGATGGAATTTTCACAAGTTCTTTTGTGTCGGATGGTGATTGATTGTAAAGTTTTTCTATTTTTTTCCTATTAAGAAGGTGAATTTTGCCTACACTCCAAACATATTAAAGTCTAGGGATCTGACTTATTTTAATCTTTGTCCATTAACATGAGTTGTAAATCTGAGTTTTGGTTTAAAGGGGAGTGTGATTTTTGCTTCATTTGACGAGACTGAGTTAAGTCAAGATCAGTTTAAATTTTTAAAAATCAACAAGTTAAGAGTATGATGTTTTCAATTCATCACCAACCAAAGTCTAATCTAAATTTTGCCGAGTTTAAATAATTTAATACTTAACTTAGTTCAATTCATTTATATTGGTGACTTCAACTAATGATTGAGTTGCATAAATTCGGATGAGTATAAATGCCTAACACAATGCACCAAACAAATCACTACACTTGCAGAACAACTTTAAAGAATTTTGTTCGGCGCAATTGTAAGAACGGAATAAAAATTTAGGATCAAATCATGGTTGCCCGCACAACTCACATGCCACAGACGTACCCAGCAATTTGACTACCATTTTGATGAATATTTTGGCATGTTAAAATTTTTAATGTGCATTAGGTACTGCAATATTGTGACAAGTCTAAACCATAGCATATTGTTTTTTGGGCTTCCCAAATTCCAATGGAAATAGAGCTTATTGGTAAGTTTCACCAAATGTTCATAGTTTTTTTTTCCACGTAGATCGATGAAAAAAGGGAGTCGAAATTAGATTACCTAGTTCGTCACACCAACGCTCAAAATCAATAAAGATAGCTATAAAAACATTTTATATTTTCCCTTGTATTTGTCTAAGATGTGAGTAAGAGGTTGGTCAAAAGTCATGATAAGCACTTATTCGCTTAAGAAATGAATTATAGTTCGAGTTCAAGAATCAAGCTCTTCAAAATAAAAGTGATATTGTTTATTAGTTATCTCTCCTAAAAAATTTTTGTAGACTAAAAAAATTGTCTACTAGACAAGGCCAATGCTCGAGATGCAAGAGGCTATCACTTTTCAGCTCCACTGCATTTGGCGCATGTTGAGTAGCGTGTAGGCCAAAAGAGAGGCAAATTAGGCGCCAAAAGTTACCCTATATTATGATCATAATGCTGGAGCATAAGTCTTTGTGCTTAAAATATAAAATTTCGAGAATATTTAATGTATTGGCACGTTACATTCTAGTTTTACTAAGGAATTATTATGTGGCAAAAGTTGAAGAAAGATAAAAGATGATAAGTCACAACCACATTTAAAAAGAGGCAACCAACTGAGAGTTGCCACCCATGATTTGGGTATTATTAGGAATAGTTTTAGGCTAGTTTAGAAACAATTAGTACTATAATTAAGGTTGTTTCATTCAGTCTTTTATAACTGAAGTCTCTTCGATTGATTTAATAAAAAAATTATCTTTTATTTTTTCTCTGCTTTAATGTCGCCTTCGCATAGTGAGAATATCCATTGTTTTTCTCCAAGGAAGTCCTAAAAGACATTTAAATTCATTTCAAACATTCTCTTGAAAGTTATTTGTAAACCCCCGTGTATCTATTAGTATATAGATAACAAGTTATATGGATTGTATGCATAAAACATGTGTTAGGGAGAAGATGGATACTACTCTAATATTTAACCTATAACTTTTTAGTTTAACATCATATTGATTTGAAATTTTGACAGTAAAAATTAGATACCAAGAGCTGTAAAAGTGTATTGTACAAATATTTCATGAATCGATTTCTGGGTGGGTCAAAACTGTGTTGGAAATATCTACAAGAAACTGGATTGACGTTCAGGATTAGGATATTTACACAGACATAGGTACCCACGTTGAGATTAGAATATTTATAAGGGATGAATTTCTCATAGTCTGACTTCAAATGATAGCCAAAATTTGAATATA